ACAAATTAGGATGCCTGCTATAATTGTAGAGTAACTTCTGATCAGACTGTAATCAATTAACTTGGACACTGACAAAATATCTAAGTTCCTTCCAAAATATACAACATGACCCAACTTCAAACATTTCATCATTGACAGTTTTTTTCTTATCCCCTATAACATTTTACTAAAAATAAAATGATTTATTAGGCTTACAGTTAACAAGTTTTTCCTCAGCTGGGATGTTAAAGATCCTATGAAATCTTACTGTGGCTGACTTAAATCTGTTGGTTTCTGTTTCTGCCGCAACATCTTGATCTACAGTTGCATTCGCCACAAGACTTTCAATCTTTGCCTTCACAAACTCTCTGATGTCCTCTTCACTTTCAATAGTTTCTGTCAAATAGAACAAAAAATTGTTAGGGTTGATTTACATGATCATGTATCTTGAAAAAGAAAACCAAATGCACTGTTTTTAGTGAAATACTCATCAGTCATTTCATGTTACATGCAAGCCCAGTTATGGAGTAAAGAGAATTAAGATATTAGGGCTACATGCACAAGGAAAATGAATTCATAAATAGATAGTGGGACACTGGTATTGGAGAAAGAATTGAAGGGTGGGAGATTAAATTAAATGGAAAAAATGAAATATTAATTGGTATTCACTGAATGGCATGGAAATTTTGTGAGAAGAATTATTGTAATTTACAGATTGGGAACTTTTGTGTTTTGTAGTCTAAACATTTTTTTGCATGTTCAATTGACTGAACTTCCACCAAAAGCTATTTTATGCAAATTTTGGTATGAGAAATGAGACCTTCACAAGGATGGAAATAATGTAATAATTTCAAGTCCTTCAATTTTTCATTATGATACTGTACGGACGAGAGCTACAGTCAGCATCAAAATTAGTTGAGACATGATGTTTGAAGAGTTCTGTTTCTGTGAAGAATAACAGTCTTGTTTCTACCAGACTATAAATCATTAACAGACCCCCTTCCGTGTTCAATATTGGCTTAAAGTTCATTGAAGCACAGTAAAACATTTTGCTTTGTTTTTTTTTTGGAGGGGGGGGGGGGAGGGGAAACCAGGTTAACTTAACAAGGGTAAAATAGATAAAACTAACAATTTGGTCACCAATTATAGCTAATTATGATAAAAGTTTCATAAAGTGACAAGTGGGTCAAAGTTCTATAATTAAAGTGAGGGCGGAAAAATTTTCCTCTTCAATCAATTTCAGTTCAAGACAAGTCTTTTGTCCCTCTGTGCTTTGACTTAACAATTTAGTTGGCCCTTTAGAAACAAATTGCTAATGAAACACCAGCCACTGGCGCATCCAGAGGAGAGGTGAAAAGTATGCGGCTGTTTATACTACAACCTACCTAATGTCCCTAGCAAATGTTTTGTTAACCAGTTCCAGTCCTCCTCAATCTCTTGGAATGATGCTGCACTAGCAATCACTAAAAACATACAATACAGCACCTATTTAAGCTAATATCATGGTTTTATCAAACGAGTAGATAACTTCAGCTTAATGAACAATTGTCAGTTTACACAATCAACCCAGTTGCTAAAAACATTAATTGGTCACCATAAAGAGTTTCAAAGCTGACATTTTGAGCATTAGCCCTTCATCAGAGCATCAGTTTCTTTAGAAACTCACCCCCCTTACTTATTTAAGATGCCTTCCACATGCGCTTACATGTCGGCTGAATACCAGGACAATTTCAATGCTGGCTACGGCCAAGTTCTTAGAGGATAGTTTTAACATTTTGGGGTGTGCAGTTTTACCACTGATGAGTTGTAGAAAAGATCAGGTCAGGAACCCATTCAAATACAGATCAAGCAAGCTTTGAGATGGAGTCCTCAAGGAAAATGGAAAAACACCTGTTGGCAACATGTTTTGGCTGCGATAAAGAATTATAGCCACACCCAGCCCACACTCCAAAGGGCAGTGCAGGACAGAAAGAGATGGAAGAGGGAATTAAGTCTATGCTCCAAGAGAAGCCCAGGCCAGGATTAGTTTTCCAGCTCTAATTTTTGGTACTTTGTGAGATTTGAACCAAACAACCTAGTCTATGTGTAATACTTCTGCTGATATTTCACTGGCTCCTGGCTAGTTCAAGTGCGATATAATTTTCTTCCTTTCAATTCATGTGTGATGCAACTTGTTTACATTACATTCATGTATGTGTATGGTTGAAAATGAATTCCTGGTAAAATGGAATTTGTTGTTTTCTTTATCCCCAGCAAATTAGCAAGTCCTTCACCCAAAGACCTGTGACAGAGATTAACATCTACTATCTCCTTACAGTATGACTGCTGATTCAGGTATTCAGGTCATGGGAATGAAGAAAATGATCATCAACTAAACAGCTTAAAGAGGTTAATGGACAATACATCAATTACTCTTGTTGCTATCACAGGACACATACAGAGAAACAGTCTGAAAGTATGTGATGCTGGGTTGTTCAGTTTGCTGTGCTTTTCAACAGTAAATAATGAGCAGGAAGTTTTGAAACTGCGAGGATTCATATTCCCGTGACCTACATTTTTACACCAATGGTATATACTGCACAGCAGAATGTGAGCCATGTTGATACATGCAAGTACATGAACAAACACATGTAACCAAACATAAATAAATCATCTCCTTGAAGGAAAATCCCTAATTAGAAAATTGATAAGGAAAAAGAACTCACCATAACTAATGTCGGAACTTGGCAGTTGTAAAAGTATGCGAAATGGTGCAGGCTAAACGAAAAGCAACATTTAACATCAGCTTCAAATTTCGTATTTACTGTTTCATAAAGATTGGGGTAAATATCATACGCGAAAAAAAAAAAAGCTGAAATTGACATAATTATGACAAGATGCACTGTTCGATCGAGGAAAGAAACCCACCTTTGTGTCGAGAACATTATCTAAAGTTCCGATCAGAAGCGAAGTCAAACCACCTCCACCGTGGCCTTTTCGTCGTTGAAGCACAAAGTAAGGGTTGTCTCTCTCAGTTACCCTAAAAAGTAGAATGAAACACGCAACAGTGAATCGAATGATAGTTTTGAAGCTAACATCCGTGCGATCATGAAGTCTGGTGTTTAATTACCAAAGAGCATTTGCCAGAAGAACTTCTTCGGGTTTTATCCACATTTTTGTCACGCGCTTCGATCAATTCTAAAAAAATTGATCATCATTTGCAGAGAGACTTTCTTTCCTCATCCAATCGATTCAACTATTCAAAACAAAGGTTTTGGTGTTGTGAGCGTGCTCTCATTGAGCAACTGCTGACGACTGTCTCCAGAAAGCCCTTCGATTCTCGTGCCAAGGCCCCGTCGGCTAAGAGATGAGAAAAGAGGAATGGAGATGAGAATGTTGTCTCCCTTGCTCGGCCATGTTGCATTTCCGCTTTTCAGTGTTGTGGTCTTCGTGAGCATCTTATTAGCTGGAATGGGAACTGAAGAACCCAGTTCTGTGGCTTTGTTGGAGAACAAACTCAATGAAAAAATTCAAGATATTTACGAAGAACTCAACATCCGAATAAGGAAATCTGATGGTTTATTGTCATATTTGAAACAGACAATTGAAAATTACTCATTGAAGCGAAAGTTCGCTCGCGTGGTAATTCAAGGGAGTGTTGGAAACAATTTGTATTTCCCCGAAATTCTTGAAGATGGTACTTACCGTGTTGAGATTGATATGCTATTTGAACAGGACTCAAACAATGTAACTTTGCCCGGGTTTGTTGGAGAAAACCGTTATCCTCAAGTTATGGTGGAGGTTGTTGCAGACGAAGGCGTTTCCTCTCAACAGTATGTGAAGCTGAAAGTGACAAGGTTGCCGGAAGGTTTGAGAGACGAAGATCAAACTGTTTTTTTCGAATTTGACGATGTAAGTGGAGAGTATTATCTAAAGAATAGCGAGTATTTGAACGATTTGCCATCTATTAAAGATGAAATTAAGGGTGGAATCTTTGGAGAGAAAGAGATCACCACCGGAGGTGTTTTTGCCAGTTTTCAGGGAAGAAAACCATTTAGAGCCTTCAAAACTGAGAGAAAACAATTGATCATAGATGAAGAAACAATTGATTACCAGTTGCTAATGGACAAAGTTGCTGCCATTAAAGTGAAATGGCCAGAGGTCTCCACGGTCTGGGAGACTAGAGAAAGACTATGGCCCCCTTTTGAAGTATGTAAGGAAATTACATGTGGTGGCATCCATGTGATTCCAAAGTCAAGCCACAAAAGTACCTCTACAACCCAGTGGAAGTACACGTTTGCCATAGCAGAACAAAGGTTAGCTCACTTGTTTACTCCTATTCAAAGAGCATGTTATCTCATTCTGAAACAGTTGAAAAGAAAATACTTCAGCCAGGTCTCTCTCAGTGAAGGTCAAGTAATTATTCCCTCCGGAATAAGCACACATCATTTGAAGACTGTGATGTTTTGGACAAGTGAGAGGACCGAGCCAAGTGAGTGGGAAACTGACCCTGGAAAATGTCTCTCCCTCCTTATCCAAACCCTTGTCGATTTTCTCCAAGCTAAACATTGTCCAAATTACTTTGTCCCTGAAGTCAATCTCTTTGAACGACTATGGATGGATGAAAGCAAGTTTCTATTTGTGAAGGATGATAACCAGCTAAGGGATGCAAGAATTCAAGGTGTTCTTGAACTTGTTCTTCAAGTACAGGTGCATCTTGAGGATTATTTAACAAGTGAGCTTTTGCAAACTGTTGATGAAGATCATGAAAGGACAGAATCAAATGCTAAATTTGCAGAAAAAGATTTCTTTTCTGGTTTTAAATTTGAAATGGCAAAACAACTTGCTTCGCTAGATTCTCTGTTCACTGATTTTCATGACTTCCGTGAAAGTAAACAAGAAGAAAAAGCAAAGAAGGATGAATTATAGAAACACAGTGGATAGAACAGTTGGTAGATTCTGCCAACCCAATTACCATCTAAAAGTGGATTAATGGTCAACAAGTCAGCAAGATGAATGGACTACCATCTGTAAACTTTGACTTTGGTGAATGCCATAGACTCTGTTACACAAACTTTGACAAAACAGATGGACTTAAGCCCACAAGTGAGACAATTAAAAATGGCATATAAATGGGAACCCAATGATATGCTAAATGAAATACAACTTAAAAATCAATCAAATGTAAAATATTTTTAAATTGATGCATTATTAATATTAAATTATGTAATCTACATAATAAATATTTAGTAAGTAAATGTAACATTGTACAAGCTTGCTGGAATTGTAGTAACTGTGTGTATTTGCTGCAAATATGTGGTGATATAATAGGTGTTAGGACTTGCAGGAAAAAATCCATTCTAGATGAATGAATCACAGGTCCGTCATCTTATATTAAAAAAGTTAAGGTTTCATGTTAGCAACTGGTTGTAAAGTACAGTGGTGGGGGTGGGGGGTGGTGAAAACAGGAAGTGGGTCACACAATTATAAACTCCCTAAAAGGGGGGGGGGTTATTTGCAAAATTCTGTGTGGAAACTGGCTTGCTGTTACTCAAATAATTATTTTTAGTGCATAACTTTCTTGTGATGGTTGATTATTTTGTATCTGAATGTCAGTGATCAATGGATTGTTGTTTATAAAAGTCACAATCTGTTCTTTTTTGACTGGTGCCAGTTGGTGTCTGCACAGTAACCCTGTTCTATGGAATCTGCAATCATATCAGCACAGCAGAGCATTAGCTGTACTGTTCTGGGTTTAATCTGCATGTTCTGTTTTAATGAAACATTGATTTACACCAAGGAATTCCAGAGGTTTAAGTTTAAGTTTAAGTTTAATTCATTTGCCACAGGAATGGCAGGAGAAAGGAACAGAACTTTCGTTCCAATTGACACCTAACCCCTTTTTTACCCACCCGTCCCACCCAAGGGAGGACATCCATCACACAGTAATCTCATGTGTGGGAAATTAACGTCTCCTACCCCAAACCTGCAGGAGACGGGACCTCCATTTATCGTCCCTATCCGAGAAGACTTGAAAGTCAAACCATTTGCAGATATTATTACAAAGGCAGCACTTTCTTGTCAGTGAATTGAAGACCCTGAGTGTTGGTCCGGCCGGATTTGAACTCACGACCTCCCGCACAACAGTCCGGCGCTCTGCCAATTGAGCTAACCGGTGAATAATTTGATCTAAAGTGGGCTCTGCCAATTGAGCTAACCGGTGAACAATTTGATCTAAAGTGGGCTCCCTGTGGAGTAGAATACTAGGAAAGAGGAATCATACCATGAGTTCATGGCCATTCTGATGGGGTCCAGTCCTTTTCCTTTCTCAAGATATGCCCAATCCATTTCCACATCTCTGCATCCTCTTGTGCGGTTATTTCCCATTAAGTTCCTCGTTTCTGACAACAGTTCAGACAGTTTGACCACATTGAAAGATGCCAAGTATTTGTTAGAGTCTTCTATTTGCAAAAGTTTGTTAAGTCTTATCTTGGAGAGCAGAGGTTTTGTGGAGTTCCAGGTTTCCAACCGATATCGGAGTACTGATTTGAAAACTTAAAAATATCCTCAGCTTTGTCCTGAGGGAAAATAACTGTGTTAAAACCACAACATCCCTTTCCTCCTTTAAAAGGAACTATTCAAAGATGGCTTTCTCTAAGCACATAGACATATAATTTTAAATACTGACTCGTACATAAGAACTTCTCACATAAATATTTTGTTATATATTTTTATCCTACATTAGTATTGGATTGTTATTGTTATTATTTTTCTTTTTTTTTTTCATTTTTAGCAGGGCTAAAAATTACTCCTCAAAATGAAAATTAGTCTGTGTAATTCTGGTTTACCTTGTCTAAATTAAGTGTTGTTGTCGAGTTCATCCTCGGTGTAAAAACCTGTGAAGCTCACGAGTGACGTAAAACAAAGACGACAAAACTTTATAAGCAATAGCGTACAGCAAAACAAAACCTCATGAAACAAAAAAAAACCTCGTCAAGTTTTTACACCGAGGATGACCCTGTCATTGTTGTTGCTCCTCAATTCGCTTTTGTCACGCGCCGCCATTGTGATATCAGAATAAGGTCAAGCAAGCAGTGGACCAATCCGCCGAAATGCTGCATAGTAACGATGGTAAACAGTGATTATTGTAGCGTGAAAAATTGTCGCTACAATTCGTCTTCAAACAAAAGGACCAAAAGAGTTTCATTACATAAAATCCAACACAGAGTAATCTGAAAACTATCTGGAAATGAAAGAGGGAGCACTTACAAGAGAGGGTTGTTTCAGAAGGCGTTAGATTGATTGCGTCTGAGTACCTGTCTTTAATGGAATGGACATCTTATGGAACTATGTAAATTGATTTTGCAAATCCTTTCAGTGTCTTGATTCAGGTCAGGTCACCTTCAGGAATCTTCAAAATCATAAAATCAACTTTAGCTATTGTCTACTACTCCCCAGCAACAAGTTCCAACTTCACCCTAGTAAATGTAATAAGCTTAGGATAACCTTTGCACGCTCTCCGACAAAAGATGAACTTGTGGAAATCGCCGGCTGTAAAATTCATACAGTACAAGTAGTTAAGTTATTGGGCGTTTATATTCAAGAAGAACTTAAGTGGAATTCTCAAGTGAGAGAAATGACGAAAAAACTGAGCTGGCAAACGCCAGTATTTTTTAGCGTAACTAAAGCGCGCCAAAGTTCCATTTGAAGACCTAGTTCAGTTCTATGTTGCCTGCATCCAATCTGTTTTACTTTATGGCTGCCAGGTTTTTCATTTTAGTCTTCCACAATATCTAACCTTCAGTTTAGAAAGAAAACAGAAACGTGCTCTTTGGATAATTTTCGGTTACGAAGTGCATTACTCAGATGCCCTGGCACGTTCAGGCTTCCTTACGTTAGAGTAAAGCAGGACAGAACTATGTAAACAACTTTTTAAACAAAATTGTAGATAATCCCCTTGATGTTCTGCACCTGACGCGGATGTCGTTACACATGTCGTGACGTCGCGTCACGATTATGTTCGCAATGTATTGTGGTTAGAAAAAGGAATGTGCACGCCTTCAAGATGGCGTGGTAATGTTGTTGTTATTTAATGTTGTTTTTTTGGAAACGAGCCTTTATTCTGTCTCGAAAGATTGAGCGAACCGCGAACTGCGAGAACAACAACAGATTGTTAAAATTTGAATATTCTACATGCACCCTCTTATTCCTTTCAATGAGAGACCAACTAAGGACCTCAGGAACGCTAAACCATACCGTGTAAAGCCATGTAAGACCAATAGGTGTCGTGACACTTTCATTAACAAATGTGCAGTTCTCTTTTAGCAATTCAACTGCACTGATGTCTAAATTTTTTGTATTTGTAGTCATATTCGTAGGATTCTTATCGTAGTCGTAGTCGTAGTCGTAGGATTCTTATTGTAACCATGTAAGTAAAATTTTAATTATATTTATAAAATCTCTCCTTCTATACACTGTAAATCTTAGAAATTCAGCCCATGCTGCTATTAAGGTATTGAATAAACCATTCTTCTTCTTCTTCTTCTTCTTCTTCTTCTTCTTCTATGGGATGATAATTCAACTGTGTAATGCACCACCTTCCCTTTGGGAGATATTTATGATGAATATAAATCAAATGTGTTTCGAATTTTCATTCAATTTAGCTGATGCAATTAAATTCTATTACACGAAACTCTTTACACATGCACTGTAAATAGGAATGACATCATGTGAAGAAATGGCTCACTATTCTGAAATACTGGAGCTGCTTTGACAAACATAGCTGCGTTAATAATAATTAACTGATACACGTCTGTATCTTTGTAGCAAGAGACAGCTAGTTTTATATTCTGCGCAGGGGTCCTTGTTTTTCATGAACATTTAATCATTCTGGAAATTGATTTGTATAATAATAATATATAATAATAATAATTTAATATTTATATTGCGCAAATTGATATGTGAATATGATCAAATGCGCATCACAACACTTTTCGGGGGACTTTGGCCGGACTGCATCAGCAGTTTACAAACAATCGAAAGAAACTTATTTGAAGATGCCCCCTCCCCCTCAATCCCAGTAAACAGGCCAGAGCACATCACAGTAATCTCGTGAGAGGGTTTTTTAACGTCCCCTGCCTAACCAAATTAGCTAATTAGTAGATGCAGGAGACGGGACCTACGGTTTATTCATCCTAATCCGAGAAGAGTAGAATGTCTGTCCATTTCTTGATATTATAGAAGGTAGTGCATACTCCTCAGTTATTTTAAGACCTTGAGTGTTGGTCCGGCCGGGGTTCGAACCATCGACCTCGACCTCCCGCACAACAGTCCAGTGCTCTAACCAATTGAGATAACCGGGTGGCGGTTATAATGGTAGTGACGAAAACGAAGACCCCCAAAACGCAGACCTCCCTACTAAAACGAAGACTCCCCTACCAAAACGCCGGAAGACGCCCTACCAAAACGAAGACCCATTACCAAAACGAAGACCCATTAACAAAACGAAGACCCCCTACCAAAACGAAGACCCATTACCAAACCGAAGACCCATTAATAAATTCGTTATGTCCATGAAACACAACGAAAACGAAGATCCTTACGGAAATCTTGAATTCTGAATTTGGGGCGTCTGTAATTTATTTCGGAATATTTCAACAGTAGAGCCCTATGGAGCTTTAAATGGGGTTTTGCTAAAAGCAGACCCGCGGCCCACGGCCCACGACGGCCCAGCGGCCTGGCAGCCCGAAGGCCCAACAGCCCGCAGCGGCTTGCGACCCGGAGGCCCGATAGCCCAGTACTGATTTTCCACAGTTTTTTTGTCTAGCTGTAAATCCACGCGCATGCACAGATCTGCATCAGGTTTGGACGTGCCAAATGGATGACAGTGAGCTTGAATTCGTATATCATTTAATCATTTGAATCCTTGTTTCTGTTTGTTGCATGTTGTTCAGAAAAAAAACGTTTTGATTCTCTGTTCAATAGACTCTTTACAGAAACCGATAGCACAATGGAGGACTTTCATTATCGAACGCTTTAGGTTATTTTTACTGCTTTGAAAGTGAAAATATCATATCAAAAAAGGAAGAGAAAATATGAACCAAGGGCAAAATTGGAGCACAACACAAACAAAAAATTTGAATCTCTTGATGGCGAGGTTTGATATTTTCACTTTTCGCCGTGATCGAAAAGTACTCCTTTACACCCGAAATAATGTACCTTATTTCTTTGCCAAACCTTGAATAAGGAACTGCCTCCTCGATGTTCGACAGCGTAACGGCAAATCGATCGGTCGCCCGACTGAGACATAAGACATACATACATACATACATACATACATACATACATACAGACAGACATAGGTTAATTGACCACACCCAATAAGGGCTTTTCAGGGCCAATATCCACCCATCCCACCCCAAAGAAGGACATCCACCACACAGTAATCTCGTGCGTGGGAAATTAACGTCTCCGGCTATCCCTAACCCTTCAGGAGACGGGGCCTACGGTTTATTAGTCCTCATCCGAGAAGACCAGAATATCTATCCATTTCTTGTCATAGAAAGGTAGCAAATTCTCCTCAGTTATTTTAAGACCATGAGTATTGGTCCGGCCGAGGGTCGAACCCTCGACCTCCCTCACAACACAATCCGGCGCACTGAC